CAATGACTGCTAAGTAGGGACTGGATAGCTCTGGGGATAAAGATAGTTGTTGTTGTTGCTGTTAGATGCCAACGAGTCAGTACCGACCCATAGAGACCTTATGCACAGCAGAACGAAACACTGCGCCATCCTGGGCCAACCTCACTACTGTTGCCATGCTTGAGTCCATCGATGCTGCCATTTGGCCAATCCATCTCATTGGGGATCTTCTTCTTTTTCTCTCACCCTCCACCTTACCAAACATGATATCCTTCTACCATCAACTGGATTCCAACTCATGGCAACCCGGAGTGTGCAGAAAAGAACAGCTCCTAAGGGTATTCAGGACTGATATCTTTTGGAAGCAGATCTCTAGCCCTGTCTTCCAAGGCGCATCTTTGTGAATTCGAACCACCAACTTTTTGGCTAGTAGTCAAATAATTAACCATTTGTGCCACCCAAAGACTCTTTGACAAAGGTAGAAGGGAGGCTTTTTTACATTATACACTTTTACATGTTAAATTTTGTTTTTGAACCACGTGATAATGTTATGTATTCAAAAATAAGTCAAGGAAATTTTGTAATATTTTAAGCATATCTATCATGGTCCAGCAATCCTAAAAAATACAGCAAAGATCATCAGTCCCATTTCATAGATGTGGAAACCTAGGCTCCAAAACGGGAAGATGAATTGCCCCAGGTTGTGGTAGGGATGGAAGGAAGACCCAGACCTTCAGACTGCCAACCTGGTGGTGTTCTTTTCAGAGACTCCATCCTTGGAGAGACCAGCAACACCCAGACTCACTTTCTAAATTCAGTCTATGTAGCCTGATCCACATGGAATAACTGCCATCTGTAAAACCTTATTAAGCACAATAACAGAGCACATTAGCTATTTGGGACTACTTTAATGTTCTAGGTAACTGACAATATCCTGAAAATCTTTTGGGTTTTAACACTTAGTATTGAAAATCTTTACAAATGTTAAGACTACATTCTTCTCTCAGTAAGAACAGTGGCTACAACTGCATTTTTTACTAGTTAATTAACTTGCATGACCTCAGGATCATCACTGTGAACCAAAATGGCAGTCCAGTACAAAAATGAGTCATGGATTTAAAAGCCAGCAGACCTTAGGTTCCAATCCTAGTTTTGACATTTACTTGTGTGAACTTGAGAGTAAGCTGGTCACTTCAGGTATCTTCACCTCAGCTTCCTTTTTGTAAATAAGACATGTATTAAGCACTATGTGTTTGACACTATTCTAGCTGCAGGGATTCATAAGGGCACCCAAGGCTGACAGATTCCCGCAAACAAGGTAATTTCCAGTACTGAGTAAACGCTATGAAAAAATAAAATACAGTAATGAGACAGAGCAACTGAGAGGTCAGGGACTGCCTCTCTTCAGAGAGGCATTCAAGTTGGAACCTCAATGAAAAGGAAGAAATGGTTACAAGAAGATCTGCATTTGTAGGGGAACAAATGCAAGGATCCTGAGGCAGGAATGAACCTGGCTAGTTGAAAGGGCAGAAAGTGCAAGTATGGCTGGAGGTTACTAAGGAGGAGGGGCAGAATGGTGGGAGACAAAATCGGCAAGGCAGACAGAGCTCTCTTAGGATAAGAGTTTAAACAGTTTTCTGGTTGTAATGGGAAGTCACTACAGAAATAAGACAGCTTAATTAGATCTGTAATTTTCATACTTTATTTTTTAGCAACAGAACTGTTTAAACAAATAAAAACAAGTGGAACCTCAATATAAAAACTAGACAGAAGTAACACTGCTCTGGCTGATTGGTGGGAAGTTAAACCCCTTCTGAACTCTGCTTTCGTGGCTTCCCAAGAACTAGAGTTCAGAAAAGCTGGAAAAACCCTAAATGATGTGACTCTTAGGTTTCTTAAACTCTAATAAAACCCAGCATCACTATAAAGTACTACAGGGAGAGAAGGGTTAGGAGATCAAAAGGAACACTTGTTGAACCCAGGATTGAACACGAAAAAGGTTAACTAAACCTGCCCTGTGGACTTGCTCTCTACAGAAACAATAATAAAATACGGATCATTAAAGGTTCCAGTTAAATCCATTGCTGAATTTACATGTAGAAATTGTTAAGATGGCATGTGCTTTGTTATGGGTATTTTTACCATAATTTAAAAAAAATTATACACTAAAACTAAAAGGACAAAAAGAGCTCAGGAGTTGCCAGGGGCCAGGGTCAGAAGGAACTCACTGTGAACAAAAGGGCACAAGGGAACATTTTGGTTTGATGGAAATGTTCTATATCCATTTGTGAATGACTGTAGACAGTTTGTCACAATTCACAGAACTGTACACTTAAAACGAGTGGAATTTTACTGTGTAATTAAGCCTCAATAACCAAACCAAACCCAACCCACTGCCAGCAAGTCCATTCCTACTCATAGCAACCCTGTATAAAGTTTCCACGGCTGTAAATCTTTACAGGAGCAGACTGCCTCATCTTTCTCCCTTGGAGCAGCTAGTGGATTTGAACTGCTGGTCTTACAGTGAGCAGGCCAGTGCTTATCCTACAGTACTACTGGGGTTCCTAAACTTCAATAAACCCCCTTTTTAATAAATCACATTGCTGGAATACACCTCCAAGGTATTTTACAAAGAGGAAAGCTGATACTCCTACTGAGTCAACAGACCTCAGAAATCCTGACCTGAAAGGCAAAGTTCCCCACTAAATGCTGCTCAGTTTTAACTCAGGTGGCTATGACCCATCCTCTTCAGAGTGCTGGTTTCTCTGACTGCAAAATGAGCAGGTAAACAATTGTGAAGTACTTTCCTATTTCCCATTCCAAACAGGCCTGATTCTAGGAAGCAATCTAGAGTGTAGAGGAGAGACTCAGTACTTTAGAGTTGTTAAAAAAAAAAAAAAGTTGGAATAAAACCCATCCCACATCTGTCACTAGCTGTACACAATGTGCTTAATGCTACCTTCAGGAAGCAGACACACATCTGTACAGCAGCTGGCTCACACAGACTGTGGAGTAGGGCAGCCACTACAGCTATTAAGAAGTCAGCTCATGCCTACATTACCAGTCCTCTCTGCTCCCTGTTCACGAAGCTACCTCCTAGGAACAATCTGGAGCTAGCCATAGGAAAAAAAAGAACTAACTGCCCTGCTCTACATTGCACAACCTGTGCTCGGGTACACAATTACACCCTGAGCTCTGCTGGGCACAAGTTGTTATCTTGACAGGTAAACAGGAACACTCTGTGCCTCTTTGACCACTGTCAGGAGTGTGTGTGTGTGTATGTTTATGTAAGTGCCATCAAGTCAATTCCAACTTATAGTGACACTGTTACAAGGAGTGGTTGGTGAGTTTCCAAGGAGTGGTTGGTGGGTTTGAACTGCCAACCTTGAGGTTAGCAGTCTCATCCTACAGCGCCACACTAGGATTTCGCCGACAGCAACTAGGCTGCCACAAACACTCAGGTAGCAGGACCTGTAAGAACACTGCTTGTCTTTATGGCTCTATTTTAGCATATTGCACTTCCTGTGACTCTTGGCAGCATCAGTGTACTCCTCCACGGACCACTCCACACATACTACAGCTCTTCCCACACCACCTGCTCCAAGGGATGGTCCTGAATGATTCTATGTTCCTGCCTGCACTTTGTTTTCTTTTAGTCCAAGATCAACCAGGAGACTTCTAGACCAGAAGTCTCTACTTCCCATGTCACATCTGCTCCGGAGAGGCATGTAAAGACTGTTGATTTACATTTTTCTCCATGGTAGGGTAGGAGGAATGCCACACCCAGAAACGAGCCCAATTTTACTGAAACAAAGACAACACTTTATAGGCCTACAGCAGCCAATAGTGTCAGAGCAGACCAGCAGCCAGCTGAGTGAGCTCTGGTCAGGGGCTCAACAGATGCCAACCGACCTGGTTGGTTCTACTTCCTGACCACGCAACATTTCTGAGGCTCTGGCCTCCATCTGTGAGATACAGAGACAGCACCTGCTCTGTACTGCCAAGCCCTGTGCTGTTAAAGTTGTCTCCCTGAACTCAAAACCATGAAAGAATGAGGAGACTTGCTGCACTTGCTGCATAGTGCAGTTAGAAAGGGACACCTATGAACAAGAGCAATAAGCTATCTTGACACGTAGGTAAGAAAATCGGATTCAGTAATCCTAAACATTACTAATCAAGCCATTACCAGGATATTGCACCCCACAACGCAATTACATCCTGCTGTTTCTAAGCAGAGCCATTTCTAAAACTTGGTCCTCTCCCCCACCTTCCGGTATCTAAGAAGTTTTTCGTTTCCAAAGCGGCTGGGGGAAGGGACCCGGGGCCGGCCCATCTCTAGTAAAGTTCCACCACCAGGTCCACAAAGAGACTGCAGGGAGGCGTGGCCAGGCTGGAAATTCTGAGAAAAAGTTTTGGCCCTCAGGTCCTAGAAGCAACTACTTCCTGATCCCTCCAGGTCAGCGGGGGTGTAGTTTTCTGATTGGACTCCCCGACCAGAGGGCTGAGCCTGGGACTTCCACCGCATCCCCGGAGTGGCCCCTGGTGGGGAAGGGTCCGGACCGTCAGGGCTCAGCTCGTGCCGTCTACAGAACTCAATCGCACAGGCTGCCTTTCACCGACGAAGTTATTTCAGAGCAAAGTACCCCCAGGGTGTGTAAGCTCGGCAGAATAAGGGCTCTACTTCCATCCTCTGCCCCCTCACACACAGAGTCAAGGCCCGCTGCTTTGCGGAGAACCGGGTTCAAACCGGATTTGTGGGCTTGAACCTAGTCCAGACCCCGAGGCCCAGGCCTGTTCCGAGAAGACGAAGAGAACGAAAAAGCAAAAGGATTTGCAAGACACCTCACAACAATCCGGAGGTCGCTCGCTGCCGACCTAAAGCTCAACTAGCTCCCCGCTCGCCTGTGGAGAACGAACTTCCGGGGACTCGTCGGTGCCCGGGCCGCGAAGCAGCTCCAGAGGGCCAAGACGCCACCGGGCCCTGCGACCTGGGCCCAGCACCCAGGGGCCGGGCCTCCCACCTTGACTCGTTTGCCCTGGATCTCCAACGTCTTCATGGTGAAGTCGACGCCAATAGTGCTGCCCTGGCGCTCCGAAAAGGCGCCCGTCTTGAAGCGCTGCACCACACATGTCTTGCCCACGCTCGCGTCTCCCACCAGCACCAGCTTGAACAGGAAATCGTACTGTTCGTCCGGGTCCCCTGGGCCCGGGCCCGGCCCCGCCATAACCTCGCGGAGCTGAAGGGCTGGACTAGGTTCACGGAAGCCGCGGGCTAAGCCCGGTGCGTGCCAGTCCACCCGCCGCCTGGCGACGTGGAGCCGCCGGAGCACCTGAAGGATAAGAGCTGCAGCGGGTCGGCCTTGCCCCGGCCCCGCCCCGGCACTTCGCACCGCCTCCGGCCAGACACAGACCCCAGCCGGCCCAGGCTCCTCCCCGGACTCGCCCAGCCCGCCCTTGGCTCCAAGCCAGACCAGTGCAGCCGTCAGGCCCGCCCTCGGGGTCCGCCCGGCCCTAGTCTGCCCTCAGCACCGCCCCCAGCCAGACTCCGCCCTCGGATCCGCCCCACGACCCGATTCGGCTGTCAGCACCGCCCCCGGCCCGACTCCATCCTCAAAACCACCCTCAGATCCACCCGGACCAGACTGTACCCACGACCCTGTGCCCCCTCGACCCAGTGCTGTCTTTAGTTAACACCACTCCTCTCAGCTCCGCCCCCAAGCCAACTCTAAGCTAGATTCCCCGCCCACAGCACCGCACCAGTCCCCGACCACACTTCTTCAGCTCCGCCCCCAACACATGGTTACGCCCCCAGAGACTAGTTGTAAAGGAAACAGGAATCCTCACCACTGGACCAATAAATAACAATATAAATGAAGAAGATAACTAAAGTTCCGACCTATTGCATTAGGCAAATCTTCTGCAAAAGACCTCTTTAAAGTGCTCAAGAGCAAAGATGTCCCTTTGAAAAGTAAGGTGCACCTGATCCAAGTCATGGTATTTTCAGTCCCCTCAATAGCATGTGAAAGTTGGACAATGAATAAGAATCAATACATTTGAATGGTGGTGTTGGCAAAGACTACTGAAAGTACCACGAACTGCCTGAAGAGCAAATAAATCTGTCTTGGCAAAAATACAGTTAGAATGCTCCTCACAAGTGAAGATGGTGAGATTTTATCTCATGTACTTTGGACATGTTGTCAAAAGGGACCAGTCCCTGAAGAAAGATATCATGCATGGTCAAGTGGAGGCTCATCGAAAGAGAGGAAGACCCCCAATGAGATGGAGAGACACAGTGGCAGCAACAATGGACTTAAATATAATAATCACTAGGTTCTCATGAGTTGGAGTTGATGCAATAGCAACTAACAATAGCAATTCATGTTTCCCACACTAGCAGAGAAAATTGATGGTATTTGCAATCCCCTCTGTATACAGGGTAGATAGGGATGGGCATCTTAGACACTGACTACCTAAAACGGAGGGGAGAGGGGGCCTATAAAGGCACGAAGTGACTAGCTTACACATTTTCAGGAGGGAGTTTCATTTCAGAGTGTGTGGGGGAAGGTGGAACCTCCATTGAATAGTTTTCATCTTGTCTAGATAGGTCTGGTGAAAGGAGATGGGGATAAGATTCTTATGATTCAATAGTGAGTAACTGTTACCATGACTAATTGCAACTGTCACAACAGTAAAGGTAGAAGTTTTGTAACAAAAAGGGGGGAGTAGTTAATCTTACAGTCCAGGAACAGAGGACCCTAAGACAATCAAGTGAGAAGAGCATGAGTGGAATGTGGAACCCTATTCAGAGAAGCTGTGACACCAGAGATGAAGGCAGAGATGATGACATGGAGAGAGGGAGCAGCTGAGGATTCCAAACTCATGAAAAGAGAGGGACTGAGCGCTGGTGGCGAGGAGGCAGGCTTGCAGAATGTGCCCTTTGGTTGTTTAAATGATTATACATTCCTAAGTGTTTTAGCGTACATTAAAAAAAATAATAAACCCAGAGGGAGTAAAGCAAATACTGGTGAACAATAATGCATGGAGGAGATTGTAATCATTACAATGAAACAAAATATGATAGGATGAGTATAAAACTGATATTCTCCCATGTAAACTATCACTCAGTTCACAAAAACTTAAAAAAAAAAAAAAAGGTATTTGCAATGAATAAGTAACTATTCTTTCAAAATTCTATCATGTGAGCTCCAGCATCAATTTTATCACCAAGGTCATATTTTCCAACTATTGATCCTTCCTCTTTATTTCCAATGTTCACATTCCAATCATAAGTAAGTATCAATACTTGATTGATCAATTTCACACTGAAGAAGTTGTTGTTGTTGTTAAGTGCCATCGAGTCAGTTCTGACCCATAGTTACCCTGTATAGGGTTTCTGAGGAGCGGCTGAGGAGCAGCTGATGAACTTGAACCACCGACATTGTGGTTCAAACCGGTTTTGCTGACCAGCTCTTTAACCCACAGTGCTACAACAGGAAGAAGTTGGTAGAACTCTTCAGTTTTATCATAACTGGCTTTAGTGGTTGGTGTATAATTTGAATAATAGTGATGTTAACCGGTCTTCCTTTTAGGTGTATCAATATTATCCTATCACAAACAACATTGTACTTCAAAACAGATCTTGAAATGTTCTTTTTAGTGATGAACAGGACACTATCACTTCAATTTGTTATTCCCAGCATAGCAAACCATATGATTGTCAGATTCATAATGGCCACTAATGCCTAGAATATCAGTGTTTATGCATTTCATTTCATTGTTGACAACTTCCAATTTTCCTAAATTCATACTTAGTACATTCTGTGTTCTGATTATTAATGGATGTTTACAGCTGTTTCTCCTCATTTTGAGTTGTCTTTCATCAATATATGAAGGTCCTGAAAGTTTTACTCCATTCACATCATTCATGGTCAGCTCTACTTTGAGGAGGCAACCATTTGCATTTTGAGTGCTTCCAATCTGAGGGATTTCTCTTCTGGCAGTACATCTGACAAGATTCTGGTACTATTCTTAATATTTTCATCTTTCAGCACTATGTTTGACAATGTTTTGCTGCCACTCATAAGGTTTTCATAAGCTTAACATTCAGAAGTAGTCCACCTCTCCTTCTTCCTAGTCTTAGTCTGGAAGTCAGCTGCAACCTGTCTACCATGGCTAGCCCTGTTGTTGTTAAGTTCCATTGAGTCGGTTCCGACCCATAGCGACCCTGAACAGGGTTTCCAAGACTGTAAATCTTTATGGGAGCAGAAAGCCTCATCTTTCTCCTGCGGAGCAGCTGGTAGTTTCAAACTGCTGACCTTACGCTTCACAGCCCGATTTGTAACCACTACGCTACCAGAGCTCCTACTGTATTTATAATACACAGTTTAGAAAGCTAGAAGTCCAAATTCAGAAAGCCGCCTATATGGGTTCTGGAGAAAGGTCCTGTGTACTTCAAAAGCAGATAACTAGCATTATAGATTTCACAGGTTCACAAATGAAGACAAATTTTGCCCCCAGATGGAACGCACCTAAAGTCTCGTGCATATTTGATTTAGATGATTCAGAAGATGAGATTTTGGATTTGGGGTCACTTTAAGATTTTCGGGATGGTGTGATGGGGTGAATGTGTTTTACATGTGGGAAGATCACATATTTTGGGGGGCCAAAGGGTAGAAAATTATGGATTGAATTGTTCTTCCAAAATTTGTGCTCTTAAGTTTTAACCCTTTACCTGTGGTATAGCACTGGACCTCAAAGTCATTTTGAACCACAAGGTTGGTGGATCAAGCCCATTAGCGCTCCTCAGAAACCCTATACAGGGTTGCTATGAGTCGGAACCAACTCAACCACACTTAGCAACAACAGCATACCTGTGGTTATAATGCCATTTAGGAATTGGTTATCTTTGTTATATTAATGAGATGGTATTAGTGTAGAAAGTGTGTTGAGTTAATCTCCTTTGAGATATAAAAGGAACAGATTAAGCAAAGAAGCAAAGCAGCAGAGATGGGGGGAGAGAGATGCCACACCACATGAAGACCACCAAGGAATAGAAACTGAAGAGACAACAAGCTTACCTCCGAGCAAATGGAGAAAGGCTTCTCGGGAGCTTGAACCCTGATTTCATACTTCCAGCTTCTGCCCTACAGTAAAATCATGGAGTCTGCTTAAATAAAAGAAAAAGTGGTTTATTGAGAGATAGAGTAATTCACAAAATGGAATTGCACAGAGCAGTCAGGCTGTTACAAAGTGATCCGGTCCGCTGGAGCTGACGAGAGATATTCATAGTCAATAAGTAAGAACTATTCAGAAAAATTCTGATAGGTTTATATCTTATAGTTACCCGATGTTGCAATAACAGAAATGGATGCCTTTAACAAACAATTTATTCTCTCACAGTTCAGAAAGCTAGAAGTCCAAATTCAGAGTGCCGCCTCTATGGGTTCTGGAGAAATGTCCTGCTTCCTTTCAGCATCTATAGGTCCAACATTCCTTGGAGATCTCCAAGTGTCTTGGCATCAATCTTTCCCTGGATCTAGGAGCTTCACAGTGTGGGGACCCCAGGTCCAAAGGACACATTCCACTCCTGGCTCTTCTTGGTGGTAACAAGTCCCTCTGATTACTAGTTGCCAGTTTAGTCTCTTTTATGTCTCAAAAGAGATTGACTCAAAATACAACCTAATCCTGTAGATTTCATCCAGCCTCATTAATATCACAGAAGTAGGATTTACAACACATGGGATAATTCCATTAGATCAGGGCTAATCAAATCAGATCACAGCATGGTATGAGAAAAAATAAAATGTCGTCCCTTCAAGGGTGTAAAATAAGGTTGGCACTAAAGTACAATAAACTGGGTTTTAGCCCTGTCTCTTTTAAGGCTATTTAGAGAAACTCCCCTATTCTTGTCCTCATACTATAGACTGGCCCAAACCAGTTCTTGGCATGCTATTACTTCTTGGACCAAAGATATTGCAAACTTTCTCAAGCCCCAACCCTCTCCCTCTAAGCACAAGTTGAATTAGCCAATTGGGTAAAGATGAGACTGTAAGGTCGAAATTCTAACCAATAGGACTGGAGGCCTTTTGTGAGCTAAAAGCCTGAGCAGACTGCCCGCCGGGTGTGTTTGCTAGCCTGTTCATGTGCAGCTACGCACGCTTCTGCAGAAGTAAAATTTTGTTTTGCTGAAATAGTTTTGTTTTCACCGAGTGTCTGTTTGCCGACA